TGAACATGAGGAAATCCTTTGTTTGGGGATGGAGCATCACCTGTGTAACATGTCTTTGATTTCGTAAAGTGCTTTTTTTAGTTGATATATTTTCTTGTGACAGTACCCACATGTCTGAACAAACACCCAGACAGAGGACATCACAAAGTACATGTCTATTTGTATTCACGAGAGTGAGGCACGCCTTCTACCTCACCCTAACTGGGGGCTAAAGCCATCTGTCACTATAGAAGAGTGAATTTTGTATAGCTGTTACCATGTTTGGTGGTTAAAAGGATTTTAGCCTCTAATACAGTCCAGAGATTATAGTCTTTCACGTCAGATCATTACATTTGGGACATTAATCAGCAAGAATTAAAGAAAGTAAACTACTTTTAAAACATTTACAATATAAGGTTTTCCTATTCCATATCTTTGAAAGGTTTCAGAAATGGCAGTGGCGCAGAAGTGCAGTGACTTCTAGCTGAGGGAAGAGGAGGTACATTTTGTCAACTAAGGCAGGGAGAGTAGTAAGGTAGTGGGTTTTTATACAAGGAACATATAGGTGAATCATAATACACAGTACCTGCATTATGAGCTAAGAAAATAAAGAATAAAGGCTTGACCAGAGTGGGATTCAAGGATGGAATATTACTGCCCTTTGTATTAGAGGAAGTCATTGCTTTATCAAGTATTTGTTTCTGCATGTGGAGATAAGGCTAAGAGATTATCTGTATGCTTAGCATTGTTTCTGACATTACATATACATGTGGTTATAATAGCCATTGTGTGTAAAGCTTTCCTGTATTCATGAGTCTGTTTCTTCTCCATCCTCAATCATCAATGACTGATGAACCATGGGTGGAACCATCTATTGTTCTTACTTCCCAGAATTCCACAACCATCAATTGCAATCCTTAAGGTGGTATATCTGCTAAGCATCTACCCCATACACAACTTCTCCATTGTCCATGGTTGCATTAATGTTCATTTTGAACTGGTCCACTGGTTACCTGCTCCATTTTTGGTCATTCTGACTCTTTCTACCTCATGGTAATTTTGATTTGCAGACAGAATGGAAACAAAGATCATGATACAGATAATGAAGATAACCACTGCTTTGAAGACTTATGGTTCCATCTGAAATCCGAAGTCATACCAAAAGCCACCTGGAATGGTGGCTTTCTTTTTCTTCTGCCATCTTGTAGCAGACTTAGTACTGGCCAAGTTATGGACTTTCAACTCTTTAGAAGGGGTGTGTATGTGTGTGTGTGTGTGTGTGTGTGTGTGTGTGTGTGTGTGTGTGTGTGTGTGTGTATGCATGCATGTGTGCAAGCAGGGTTTCTCTGGTGCAGACTGTATGACTTTATTTTCTTTTCACATTTATCATCAATTCAAGGCACTGCACTGACTCTGCAAACCCATCCCACAACCAAGAGGTCCTCTAAGCAGGTTTTTTAGAAAGGTCATAGCACATTCCAATTACTTCTTTATAAGCCCAAGGCCCTCTGATGAATCTCACACTGTTTTGGGTTAGAAGTATTCTGAAAAACTGAAAGTCTAGCCAACTACCAGCTTTCACATAATTTGTTAGATTCTCAAAAGTTCACATCATGATGCTTAAGTCCGGTGATGAAAGGGAATGGATGGGACAAGACACCACTAATGGTGACTTAACTGGAAATACATATTATTGAACATGCTAATGATTTTAATCAACTTTCACTGAGTAGTCAAACCTACTTATAAACACCTAGGCAGTTAAGTGGTACCGTGGATAGAGTTTTGGACATGGAGTCATAAGACCTTTTACCTAACTGTATGACCTTGTCCAAGTCACTTAATCTTTTTCAGTCAGATTTTCTTCAACTGTAAAATGGGAATTATAGTAGCACCTACCTCCCAGGGTTGTTGTGAGGATCAAATAAGATAACACATATAAAGTTCTTTGCAAACCTTAAAATGTTACATAGACACTAGTTATGAATATCCGAGTACAATTCTATAGTTGATAACAAATGTACTTTGACAGGCAAGGAAAACTAAGTTGAGATATTGATTTTAATTTTGTTGGGAACTAAATGCTACAATTACAAAGATCATGTTTTTGATATCATGTTGTGACTTCAAATTAAAAATCCCAACTCTGGAAAAGTATGGTTAAGTTTGCTGTACAGAAGCTGAGCCACAAAGACACCAAGCCAAGATTTCACTAGAAACAGCAACAAATGAAATCCCACTGCACTGACCAACCAGTGATTAATAGTCATCTTCACTGGTCCCTAATCGATTTTTTTATTTTTGCAACAAGATATCATAGATTGAGTTTCCATTGCATACCCAGCAAACTGGCAAAGATGGCAAAAGATAAATATAGCCAATGTTGGAGGGTTTGTGAAAAGACAGCACACCAACACATTGTTCTTAGAGCTGTAAATTGGTCCAAATATTCTGGAAAGCAACTTGGAATTATGCTAAGAAAGTGTCTAAAATGTGTGAACAAAACAGACTTCCTATTCTTGAAGGCAGAAATTAGAACGAAAAAGAAAAGTGAACAATTGGAATCTAAGGAGGACTGGAGTCAATATCCATAGTCTTTCATCTAAGAAAAGGGAAAAGGACCTATTTGTACAAAAGTATTTATGGCAGCTTTTTTTGTATTGGCTAAGAACTGGAAATCAAACAGATGCCCATCAACTGGGGAATAGCTAAAGAAGCTGTAGTATAAGATTGTAATAGAATACTATTGTGCTGTAAGAAATGACAAGCAGGATGATTTCAGAAAAGCCTGGAAAGACTTACATGAACTGATACAAAGTGAAGTGAGCAGAACCAGGAGAACATTGTACACGGTAACAGCAATATCGTTCAATGAAGAACTGTGAATGACTTCACTATTCTTAGCAATACAATGATCCAAGAATCCCAAAGGACTAATGATGAAGCATACTATCTGCCTCCAAAGAAAGAACTGATACTGACTGAATACAGACCGAAGCATGCTCTTTTTTCACTTTCTTTCATTTTTTTCCTTTTATTTGAATCTTCTTGTATAAAATAACTAATATGGAAATGTTTTATGTAACTGCACATGCATAACTTATATCTGATTGTTTACCGTCTCGGGGGAGGGGAGAGGAGAGGGAGGGAATTGTGGATAAAATTTGGGACTCAAAACTTTAAATAAAAATGTTAAAACACTGAAAAAAATATCCATAGTCTTTGATCCATAGATCCCACAGTGAGGCATGTATCCCATGAAGTCAATGACAGGAAGAAAAGTCTTATATACACCAAAATATTCATAGCAACACTTTTTGTAGTAGCAAAGGGCTAAAACAAAGTGGATGGCTATCAGCTGTGGTACCCAGAAAGAATGTCACTGTGTTATAGTAAACAATGGACATGAATCCTGAAAAACAAGAGAACTGCATGAATATGAACTGATGCAAAGTAAAGTAAGCAGGATCTTAAAAGCTACATATACAGTGACTAACAAACTGTAAATGGGAAAAAGGCAACACCAAAAACTGGAACTAAATGCTATAAAATTATAATGCTGAAATTTGGCCCCAAAGAGGAGATGTGAGAACACACCTTTCTTTCTTTGCAGAGGTGAGAACTATAGACATAGAACATTACATATAATGTCAGATTTGGCTGATGTGTTAATTTTGCCAAACTATTCCTGCCTTCCCCACTCTTTCTGGTCTGTTAGATAGGACAGCTCTTGAGAAAGAGGAGGGAGAGGGCTGTATTAGTAAATTAAGGTGGTGTAAAAACTAAAGATGTAGAAAAAAAACTTTTAAAAAGGAATGATAAAATATTAGAGCTGGAAGGGATATTTGGAGATTAGTAGAGTTCCTCAAAGGTCTATGATCCAACCTCTTCAACTGAGAGATGAGAAAACTAAGGTTAAGTGAATGTCTCATTCAAGGTCACACTGCAAGTTAGTGGCCAAGCCAAGATGAAAGACAAACCAGCTGCTTTTGAATCAGTCTTTCTAATTGACAATTGCTTATCATGTGTATGGTGGTTGTGAGCCCTTAAGAGACCCAAGCAATGCATTTAAGCCACATTTCTATTTTAACTCCAGTGATGGAATGACAAACATGCCATGGTTTAAAACTATTATGGGTAGAAATTGATAAATAATAATAATACTAACAGAGAAGAGACAGGAAGGAGAAGCCAGAAGCACACAGGAGTGCAAAACAGTTAGACAAGCATTCCAGAAGTGTTTGACGATTTATCAAAGTTGTCAGCAACAACAGTTAGAGCAAAGGCCTGATATTTTAGGACATAGAAAAGAAAAAGACAATAGACCTTAGGTGATCAGTCAAGCAGGATAAACCCCCAAAAGAAACAATGGAAAGAGGAGGCATTTATCAACACTACATCTTTATGTTGCAACAGCATAAATCAGAGCACAGCAGTACTTCAGGAAGGATAAAAAAATTCAACCTGCTCTTGGAAACTCCTACAATTTGTCTATTTCCAAAGGTAATAAAATGATCCCTTGCAACCATGAGCTATTTTTCACGAATATCTTTGGACCACCATTAGGGAATGTCATTGTTAAATAGCTTTAGTGTTTCTAACATTCAGAGCTGGAAGGCACCTTCCTCAGAGGTTTTTGTCCAATCCTTCTGTTTTACAGTTGAGGAAAATGAGGCTTATGACAATAAGTGACTTCAAGGTCACAAGGGTATTAAGGATCACAGCACATACCTTAAGACTTTCTTTTTGACCACAACAGACATCAAATATCAAAGTAATGTGAAAAACCCAACCAATTTAAGAATAGTATTCAGCCTGGGCAGTACTGTATTACAATGCCAAAAATGATAATGGTGAGAACTGCATTATTCATAAAGTTCAGTTTGAATCAGTGTGCTTTAATTTGAAGAGTAAAACTAAATGTCATTGCCTAAAGAAGCAAATGAGACACACATTACATGAAAGGCATGTCAAGAAGAAATCACATATTAAAATAGAAATTCAGGTCAGAAAATAATTACCTTTGATGCCAGGTTGTCTACTAAGGCAATCATGGAATTCTTAAACAAGGTAGCAGCTGTTAAAGGTCGTTTGGTAACCTCTGTGATGCTCAATTTGCCTTCAGGCCACATGTTCTTCAGCACAGGATTTGAACTAAGAGCCGGAGGAAAGGAAATTCAAATACATCAATTTCAATGAGTTCTGCCAGAAGTGGTAAGCCATCCTGCTGAGCCACATGCAAGCATCTTTATTTCAACTGCAGGAGGAACTCAAAAGATCCCATTTCAAGAAGACAAAGTGACAATGAATCCACAGAGACAAAAAGTACCTGGTTAGCGGACACCTGATTGAAAGCGGGTTTTCCAAAGTCTTTTGGACTTTAAACAATGTAACTATTTGAAGCAGCATTTAATCATAACATAGTAGACTACCTAAACAGCAAACCTGAGTTTCACAATATGATATGAACTAGGTGTTGAAAGGCGTAACAGCAGGGATGAATCACCTATTTCCTGGCTCCCTGCCTTCTTTGTGTAAGGATGATAAAAAGGGTCTTTCTTGGGAAAGTGACTTTGGGAGTCTCCCTCGGAGAGGATGCTCTGCCGTAGGGACTTTCCCAACCGAGACCCTGATGGCCGTGATACAGGACTCCCCAAGCCAGATGTTCAGGACTTGGTGCTTCCTTGGATCGGTGATGTATTCCTCCTTCTTTATCGCTCTACCTTTCTGTGATAGTCTTTGCTTCTAAGATTGTATAATCATACGTAATCACATTTATGTGCATGTATGTTTATGATTATGATTATCATTAAATCATTTATAAACCAGGAAAAGTGTGAATGTGTCTTTGTGGGTACAGATCCAAATCTGTGAAACGAACTCTAAGTGCTGCAGCCCCTAGCACCTTACTGTCACAGAAGGAAATCAATATTCATCATGACAACTAGGACAAGGGATAAGCCATTGGTAAAATGATGATTCCCAGAGCTGGGGCAGGAAAGGCACGACAGCTGTTCTCCAAACTGGTACAATGTTAACATCGACACCAGAGGACACTATTCCTTCTGTTAGTGTACTAGGGGGGGAATAGGAAGAAAACAAGACACAATCCTTCCCTTCAAGGAGCTCACAATATCCTAAAATGTCTGGAAAAGCAGGGGCATACTTGGGAATCTCTTTGAAATGGCCTGATAGCTATTTGCTTCTATACTTATAGGAAATATACAATAAAAAGTTGTTTAGAGTCAAAGAGAAAAACTGCTTTTGGGCAAATTTTCTAGTTAAAGAAGATACTAGTTAACTCCATTTTTTTTTTTATGTTCATGGTTGTCCATTTGGTCTGACCACGTCACTTACTTACTCAATAAACTCCAGGGGCTCCCAATTGCCTCTAGGAGCAAATACAAAATTGTCTGTTTGGCCTTCAAAGCCCTTCAAAGCCTAGCCCCCTCCTACTTCTACAGTCTTCTTACAGTAACCCCGACGCATATTCTTTGATCCAGTGACCCTGGCCTCCTGGCTGTTTCAGAAACAACAGACTCCTCTCAACTTTGGGCATTCTCTGCGGCTGTCCTCCGTGCTTGGAAACACTTTCCTTCCTCCATTCCAACTACTGACCTCCCTGGCTTCCTTTAAGTACCAATTAAAATAGTACCTTCTACAGGAAGCCTTCCCCATCCCTTCTGAATTCCAATGCTTTCCCTCTGTTAATTATTTCCTACTTTTCTTCAACATAGCTTGTTGTCTATTTGTTTGCATGTTGGGTCCCCTATTAGAGAGCAAACTCCTTGAAGGCAGGGACAGTCCCTTGCCTCTTTTTGTGTCCCCAGCACACGGCACAGTGCCCAGCACACAGTAGGTGCTTAATAAATGTTTATTGGTTGATTTATTTTTCTTCCCATTCCATTGTGTCTTTGATTTTATACCAATCACATTGCCATGTTCATAGGGACCATCTGTGCCCGACCTGTGCTAGAGCCTCCTGAGCTCCTACTGGTCTGAGCAGCCACAGTCAGACACACTGTATCTTGACTCCAATACATCTATGTCATTTTTGGTCCTCTTTGAGAACGAACGACAACAACCAAGTGATCAGATTGTGAAACAGCATTGCCAGCAGTATCCCCCTTTTTTGTAACAGGAAATGGACATTTTCCAAGTGGGGGGAAAAAACACAGTCTCAGCATTCTTTTTAAGTACCAGGTCTCCACTTGCTAGGACTGGACCCTTTAGCCTGTGTCAGTTCCTCCGTTATTAGGATGCGCACTGTGTATCACATGTGTTTATATTTACAGCACTTTATATGCAGGAGACAAATAAGATATGCATATACATTATACGTATTTCTTCCATCCTTCAGAAAAAACCCTGGGGTTTCACTGATGTGAGTACTCTCTCCAAAAGTGATGAGCACAACCCTTCCATGATTTCTCATTCTGTGAAATTCTTATCCACCTCCTGTCATAACTTGGCCCTGGGGGCAGGGTGGGGATGCCCAGCTTGCTTGGTGTCATGTGACATGATGTGGGTACTAAGACAGCATGCTGGCTGTCTATAGTTCTCCCGTGCTATGGGTATGATACGGCCCCCTGGAACTTTCTGTTCACAAGTCTCTGATAATAACTTATATGCCATGTTTGCCACGTACCTTGATGGCGGTAATCTGCCACAGTCTGTTTATGCTTACCTACCACAGTTTTACACGCACCTTAGGGTGAAGCACAATTTTGATTTTTTCCAGACTGTGATGCTGCAGGATCCCTGGCCTTATCACATCACCAGAAGAATAGGGATATTAAAAAAGATGGGCTTTTATTTCAGGGAGAAGCTTGAGGTCATTGAAAGTGTGTTCCAACTAGAAACCCAAATGTAATGCATTATACATATAAACCACACTCACTTGCTCTCAAATGACAGTTCACCATTAATTGAATCTGGTCAATCAAGGCAAGAAACTTGGTTGGAAATTATCGACGCATGCCACATACAGAGTACTTATTCTCACATACATGTACAAAAATCACTCTCTACGCATACATACATCTGGGCCTTCTTTGTTATCTGAATGTTAACGATAGTAATAGCTATCACTTATTAAGCATCCACTACGTGCCAGGCACTGTGTCAAGTGCTGTACAAATATTATCTCATTTGACCCTCACAACAACCCTGGGAGGTAGGCGCTACTGTTATCCCCATTTTTCAGATGAGGAAACTGAGATAAAGAAAGGTTAAGTAACTTGCCCAGGGTTGTGTAGTTAGTAAGTGTCTGAGGTGGGATTTGAACTCAGGTCCTTCTTTCTCCAGGACCTTACAGGAGTTCCTGCAGTTGTGAGAGCATTTTCTTTCGGTCTAGATTTATGATTTCATTAGCAGAGAGTAACTCTGAGGGAGGAAATTCCCCCCACCAATCCAGATGAGCAACTCCCCTGCAACTTAGAGTCAGAGCTGCCAGAAGCACTAACAAGGTAAGTGACTTGTCCAGGGTCACAGAGTCAACACAGGTCAGAGGAAGGACCTGAACCCAGGTTTTCCTGACTTCAAGGCCAGCTCTCTATGCACCATAACACTACCTTCTTATAAGGTATCATAGGGAATGAAAAGCCACCATACCAAGGAAATATTCACTAGGGAACCGACCACTTCTAAAATAAGGTTCCCCCTTAAACATCCTTCCCAACTTAACACTAGTGTCTCTCCCTAGTCATTGTGTCGATAGTTTTGCCAGCTAGAAAGAGAATGATGTGAATATCAAATAATAAATAGAAACTTCTCAAACAGTTGATCGGGTTGTCAAATATTTATTCAGCAATGACCTTCTTCATTATCATTCTGCAAATGTTAAATTTTAAGTGAGGGATGATCACATATTGTACCAGCACCCAATTTTGAGAGAAAGATTATAGCAAAAAAATCAACATTGATTCATTCTTTATGATTCAGTCTTCTAAAGATTACTTCAGAGTTGTAAGCAAAACCCAATTTTGTTAGGTAAAAGATAAAACAAACTTATTTTCACAGTTCCAATGAGACCTCCCTCCCATACTATTTACTCTGAAATCATCGTCCCCAGATTAAAGTGGTCTTTTCCCAGCATCAGTTATCCTCAGAGAACAATATATAACATCCTCTATTATACATTCACAAAACATGACTCAATGTCAACCCTACCTGTTGTACATGAGGCGTTTGAAGTCTTGAAATAAGGTGTCTTTGTTTTTGTCAATGAAACCAATGACTGAATAGCTAATGAGGAAAAGAAACCAGAGTTACTGAGCAGATCTAGGGAAGGGCCACCTTCTGGCTGGTCTACAAGTAGACTAAGAACTCTAAGTCATCAATGCAACTTTCATTAATTGCTTACTGACAGGCTGAAGGAATCACCAAATTCAACATTTATGATGGAGTTCTTTTTGTTCCTAAGGGGGAATGGAAAGGAATAGTGTTCCAGTGCCTACTACATGCCAAGTTCTGTGCTAAAAGCTTTAGAAATATTAGAAATGATACAAATATTACATCATTTAATTTTAACCCAAAGGAGTGAGAGAAGGAGCAGAACTAAGATGGTATAGGGCCCCGGAAGTAGAGGAGTTTCTTTTTATTGTTGTCAATTAAAATAAAAAATTTAACATTTAATTCTAGAGAACAAAACATGGCACTTAAGGGCATCTTCAGACAAGATGCCTCACATGAATATTTCAAAACCATGAAAGATTTCTGGTAGATGCATCATCAGAGAGAATTTCCTGATTGAACTTCAGAATATCAGTATCAGGCAATGTGTAAAACAAGAAGACCATGCTTGCCAGCAGCGCCATGAAGGATGTGCTACAGAAAGTCCAAATGGAAGAATAATTTTCTATAGAAAGCTATCTCCAGATGTTCCTGTTTGGTGATGGCATTTTCCTGATAGCATCAGGCAAAAGTGGAGAGTTTTAAGCAGTGTCAAAACCTGCATGGAGGTCAAAGAGAATGATGACCAAAAAAAGAAAAGATTCTGGACTGGGCAAGAATATAGACATGGGGGACATTTCACACACTTGTTCTCATGAAATGGTGCTTGTGAAAACCAGACTGCTGGGAGTTAAAGAGATGTCATGCTCAGATGTAGAGCCAGGTAGGTTATGTGGAGAGCAGATCTGGATTCAAGAGCAAGCAAGAATATATGGATAGGAGAGGTTAAGGATGACCCTAGTGTCTCTCCGTATTTATTCACTGTGTCAACATTTTAATCAGCCAGAAAGAGAATGATGTGATATTGGTGGAATTTGGTGAGCTGTTTTTATACTTTTTCATATCTTTTTTTTTTTCCACAAAGAAATTGAATATGATGTAAAAATAAAAAGGATCAATAAACATAACATTTCTTAAAAAATTAGCAAGTTAAGAACCCACCTGAAGCCTCTGGACTCTTTCCTCCCTGCCTATGCCCTAGTTCCCCATTCCATAACCAGTTACAGTCATTCCAAGTGTTTGCACTATTGGACCCAGTGCTGTCTGCACATGGGTTCAAATCTTGGCTTTATCTGTTACCTATGCAATCTTGGTCAAGGGACCTGGCCTCTCTGGGATTTCCCTTCCACAACTCTAAAACAAGGGGGTTAACCTAGATCAAAGGCATCAAACTCATGGCCACCTGCAAATAGTGGAGCCCTGAACCACACGAAAATGTAACGGGGAAATGTTGAACAAAATAAATTTAAAATTAATTAATTTAATTTATATAATTGTGTGTGTGTGTGTGTGTGTGTGTGTGTATACACACACTGTATATAATCACATATATAATTAAGAAAGTGGGTGCTAGCAGTGTGTATATGTGTGTGCATGTGTGCGTACACGTGTATGTTGTATATGTACACGTTTGTATGTGTATGGGGGGGGGAGGGGGACAGTAGGGACCAGGAAAGATCTCTTGAAGCAGGTGGGATTTGAACTGAGACTTGAAGAATGCCAGTGAAATGAAGAGGAGGGGGTGATGAAAGAAAGCATTCCAGCCATGAGAATAGCCAGTGAAAAGGCAGGGGAGATAGGGTGTCATATGTGAACCAGTGTAGCCTACCATGGAGTAAGTATGTAGAGGGGAGGACAGGGTAAGAAGACTACAGAGGTAGAAAGAAGGCAGGTTATGAACAACTTGAAATGTCAAACAGAGGATTGAATATTTGATCCTGGAGGTGATAGGGGACCACTAGATGCTATTGTATAGGCAGGGGTGATATGCTCCAACCTGCACTCTGGTAGCTGAGTGGAGGATGGGCTACAAAGTAGGGAGAGATTTGAGGCAGGGAGACCATCTAGTAGACCACTGCATCCATGCCTATGGCTTGATGCTTTGCAGATAACTCCCCAGATTTATATCTACAGTCTGTATCTGCCTATATATAATGTTAGCAACTAATTCAGACTGGAATCATCAAAAAAAATGCAATTAAATTGAAAATGCAATTAAATTTTAAAAGAATGAGGAACTATAATGAATAAGTGAATAATTTAGAACAGATTTCCTCTAGCTATATTTTCTATATCAAGTCATTAAAAAGATTGTTACAGAAATAAAACATACTCACACTACATCTCCAGCATAATGCCTAATTCGAAAATCTCGATCAAACTCTAGGGTTTTATCTGTGGCACAGAGCTAAAAGAAAAAGTTGGATATGGTTAATAAGAATACATTTCCATTTCCCTAAAAACCCAGGCCACCCTGACATTGAAATGATAAACATTTCCTCTGCTCCCTATCTGTCTTCTTATTTTTCTGGTCCATCAGTGCCATCTCACTCATCTCTCCTCGGCCACTTTAATGGTCCTCTCACATGTCAGAATCCCTCACTCCCTGATCACTCCTTGACCTTACCTGCCTTGCCACTAAGTCTTATTCCTGCGGAATACTTATTACCCATATCTTGGTTCCCAGACCGCTCAACCCTGGAGACAGGCATAAAAGCTGCACTTGTTGGGTTCACATAGTTGGTGCTATTGAAATAACTACATCTGGGTACGCACTGTCTTTTAATAATTATGTTACTAATTTCTTAGCAATACACACATGTGTATATATATATATACATGAATATATACTCATTCACTGAGAGAGCTCAGAAAGTTATTTCTCAAAATCACATACCTAATATTACTACATATGGGAGCCAAGCCCCATGTCCATCCCACAGTTTCCCACCACCTTCCCTGGTGGGTGAGGGGACAGCGGGGTGTGTCAGTCTCTCCTGAAGCGGACAGGTATCTCCTGCTGAAGGTGGGCGGAACAACCTCGGCATGGAACTTGGCCCAAGAAAGAATCAGCCCCTGTCAAGGTACAGGGAGCAGCATGGAGAGAAATGGCTGTCCTCTCCTTGGGGCCAACGCCTTTTCCGTTGACAGGAAGACACGATGGATTAGACACGTCCTCCAGGTCTGGCCTGCCACCTAACCAGCAGCACTCAGAACAGTTGCCCAACCGGAATTGTGTGGTCTGAGACATGGAGTGCATCTTCTGACCAACTTGTGCTCCTGGATGACCAGGACGTGCTACTCTGCCTCCACCTGGAATCCTTCACTCTGGCCACATGACTAGTCCATCATTTCTTCCTGCCATAAAATTCTTTGATGGCATTCTTTAACTTTGCTCTTTAGAATTCTTTCTTGGTTATATACTGAAGCCTGTTCATACTCACCATGCACTTCTACTATCTGTAAATGTGTTTTATGGATCATTAGAGGTCCCCAAAACTTTGGGTAATTATCCCTTATTGGATGGCTTCATTTACTTGGTCCAGGGACCAATGAGGAATCCATGAATCAGCTTATCTAACAAGGCATAACTGCACAAAGCCATCAGAGACTTCTGTTCATACAATACCCATGTCTTCTAAAAGTCTTTTATTGAGAGGACTGAGAATTGGAAAAGACTGCAGCATCTCTCCAGACCACTTAAATCAGTCCCAACCAATCTGAAAGGACAAGGTTTTGTTGAATGGTCTGGATTTTGGTTCTTCTCATGATCTGGGACAATAAATGACAGTTAAATATTGTCAAATATTTTAAAATCCCAACCATTCATTTCATAGATTACTGGGTTGATTGTGGTCATCTCCATGACATTTCCATTGAACCAGAAACAAATGTTTGGGAAGACTACAGCTTCTTAAAAAAAATTTGTCCTTGACTCTAGCTAATTAGTAACTTAAAATATGATATTACTTGGCACAAACCAAAACACCATAAAATAATTCAACAGGAAGCTTATTCAAGTATTCTCTTAGTACTAAATTATCTTTTTTGGGCCCAAATCCCAGAAAACAACACTTTGGAAACTTCTTTCTGTCTTCTTACTTTTCTCTTCACCCCAGATCTCCATGTTTAGTCATTCCAATAAAGTTCTTTCAATCACCCTAGCCAGGAGAGGGGAACCTACGGCCTTGAGGCCACAGGGGGCCCTGTAGGTTCTCAAGTGCAGACCTCTAACTGAATCCAAACTTCACAGAACAAATCCCCTTAATAAAAAGACTCTTTTCTTTTAATCATGAAATTAACAATCATCAACAAACAGAAATGTGCCAACACATAAAGACGAACAAGAAAGAAATTTGTACCTGAAATCACAAACTTCTTTCATGTATGATCTGTTAGAGCAATTTAGCAAGATAGTGACAAAGTTGCCACGTTTGTGCCCCAGACCTTTAGCTACTTGACCTAACGCCATTTCCACCTGCTGATCATCCCCCAACCCCACAATCTGCTTTCTTCAGTTTGTTCTGTCTTCAGCACACCAGGAAAGTGAAGGATTGAGGCTTGTTGTTGTTATATCATAACATTCTGTTGATGATCTGAATGCCTTTCCTCTGCTGATTATTTCTGATCTGCCCTGTCTGTAGCTTGTTCTCACATAGCCGTTTGCATGCTGTCTCTCCCATCAGACTGAATGAGAGCAGGGATTGTTTTTTGCCTTCCTTTGTACCTGCAGTGCTTAGCGCAGTGCCTAGAACATAGTAGGGGGCTGAACTGTCCCACCGACTGGCCGATTGCCTGGGGCTTTCACTGCTGCTGGGCAATCCTTCTGTTAATTTCTTTGTTCCTCATCTCATCACCCACAGCCTGCCCAAATTTCATGCTTAAGCCTTAAAACCTAACTCTTACTCTGAGATAATTTCAACTCCTGTTATAATTTACTAAGACTGGGATCATTTGCTTCCCACAACTCCTCTTCTCTACACCTCAAAAATGATCTATTTTCACCTATCCTCTTCTGTCTATCTCAGAGAAAGAGGTGGCTCTCCTGACCAAGGGCCACCTGGACCTTCTGTCTCATCCTCTCCCATTTCTTCTGGAATCTGGCACCACCAATCAACTCATCTTCTATCTTTCTCTATTAACTGACTACTCCCTTTTTTTCTAAAGTTAGCCTAAAAAAGAAACCTTTAACACTTCCACCGACTTCGCTGAGCCCCATCTCTTGTCTCTTTTTTGTCGGGAGCGATGATCCAAGCCGCTCCCTCCACTGCCAGACTTCTAGACGGTTGTGTTTATGTCCTCGGCACTTTGCACAGTGCCTGTCACATGGTAAGGGTTTAATGAATTACTCACTGCTTGATTGCCTTAGTTTTTAATTGGCCTCCCTGCCTCAAGTTTCTCTCTATTCTAACCCATCCTCACATAGCTCTGACCATATAATACCTCTCTCCACCCTGTCCCTGTGAGCAACTGCAATGGCTCCGTGTTAACAACACCACCACCAGCTCACATTTATATAGTGCTTTATAAATGATTCGCAAAATACTTTATATTTTTTATTTGATCACAACAACCTTGAGAGATAGTTGCTATTATTATCCTCATTTCACAGATGAGGAAACTGAGGCAGACAGTGGTTAAGTGACTTTCCCAAGGTCTGAGGTTGGATTTGAACTCAGGGTCTTTCTGATTCTTGACCCAGATCTCTAGCCATCATACTACCTACTTGACTCCCTCTAACTTCTAGGGTCAGCTATGAAGCTCTCTTTGTGGCACTGAAAGCTGTTTACAAACTGGGTCCTTTCTGTCTTTTCCAGCCTTCTTATACATTATTGTTTTCTTTGCATTCTATACTGGCCTACGTCCTTCCTATATGATCTACTTTCCATCTCTATACCTTGGCGCTGGCTGTCCCTCCATGCCCTCTTTATTTCTTCCTCTTGGAATCCCTGAATTTCTTTAAGATTCAGCTCAAGCAACGCTTTCTGCACATCTTTCCCGTGTCCTCCCCTCCCTCCTCCACTGCCTTCTCCTCTAAACTCCCCACCCCACACATACCTCTGCCCCATATGTAACCTATACAGACATTTAGCTACATTTTGTTTCCCCCATTAGAATATAAACTCCTTGAGGGTAAGGACTATTTTTATTTTTCCTTTGTATCTCCAGCACTTAGCATACTGACCAACACTCAGCATGTGCTTCATAAATGCTTCTTTATTGACTGAGAGAAAGGGCAATCTGTACTCCTCCCTGGCTTCTATCTCTCGCCCTTCATCAGGAACCGCTTTTGTAAAAAGTCACTAATGATCACTGATTTTCAAATCCAATTTTTCCAAGCTCCTGTCCTCCTTGACCTCTCTGTAGAATTTCCAATCCAATCCAATGCAATTCAACAAGCATTTATTAAGCGTCTACTATGGGCAAATCACTTAACCTCTCAGTGCCCCAGGCAGCTCTCTGAGCTAGTTGAAGAATGGCAGCTGATGTGATTAGCAGAGAGAATTTTCTCATTCAGAGTTCCTCAAACCAATGAAATCACAGACCCGAAATAACCACCCAAAAAGTTCAGGGCATTGTGCGAGGTGCTTGGGATACAAAGACACAACAAAAAACCACCATCCAATCTGCTGGGGAGTGGAGCACCACAGGTAACTATCTACACCTGACACTGAGGAGGGAGAGAGCTAACTAACGTCAGGGTCACAGTTTGCCCTTGTGCATTGCCCTCTCCTTGCAGATGTTCTCCTTTCCCTTATCTTTCATGATATTGTCCTTTTCTGCTTACCTGGTCTCCTGACTCCCTTTATACTACCTACTTGCTTAATACAAGCATTCCCCATGATTCTGTCTTTGGCCCCTTTCTACTCTCTCCTTTAATGTTACCCGTTCCCACTACTTTAGCTGTCAGCTTTCTAGGGAGGATCATGAAATCTTTATCTCCTGCCCTGAACTCCCCTGAATTCTGAACTCAACATGTCCAACAGGGCTAAATGTCATTTCTACCTGGATGTACCACTAACACCTCAAACTCAGTAATTCTAAAATTGATTTAAAAAAAGTCTTCTTTTCCAGGAAACCTGCTTTTCTTCCTGATACCCTGTTTTTGGCTAGTGATAACGGCTAGCATTTATACAGCACGTTAAGGTTAGCAAAACTCTTTATAAATATTACATCATTTGGGCCTCACAATAGCGCTGGGAGGTAAGTGCTATTAGTGGCATTTTGCAGAAGAGGAAACTGAGGCAAATAGAGGTTAAGTGACTTACCTAGGGTCACATAGCTAATGAGGCCGTATTTGAACTCAGGTCTTTCTGAGGCCTTTCCAGGCCCAGTGCTCCACCTACTTAACCACCTAGCCAGGTACCTCTAACTAATGGCACCAAAATCTTTTCAGTCATCTATCTTTGTAACCCTAGTCATGTTTATCCTTACCCTCTCCCTTTCTCCTCACATTCATTTAGTTACCATACTCCATCCATTCTGTCTTCTAGATACCACTCACATCTATTCTCTCTTTGCCATTTCCACTGCCATTATTCAGGCCATCAGTTTCTGTCACCAAGACCACTGCTGTAGCCTCCTAACTGATTTCCTAACCTCCAGTCTCTCCACCCACTTATGCATTATATATGATTATTAGATTTAGGGAGGAAGAAGAAAGTTCAGATTTGGGATTTCCTTAGTGTTGGTAACTCTGAGGAAGGAAACTGCTTCTACCAATGCAGATGTACAATTCATAGTCTTAGAAGCATCGTCTAGGCAGTGGTTTCAATCTCAAATAGAAATAGGGTCAATAAAGTTTACATAAGGGCACATACTGTCTCAGATAACCACATATTAGCAGTGTTGTATTCTCATTTTGTATTGTATTTTTATTTATTTTGTTAAATATTGCCGAATTACATTTTAATCTGATTTAGGCAAGATTTGTCCGGGGTCAACCATTCAGTATCTGACTCTTCTTGATTCTAAGGCTGTCATTCTAGAAGACAGAGAGGGACCTCAAAGGAGTGAGAAGAATCATGGATGATTCAGAGGTCATTTGCATCACAGAATGGTAGAACCAGTAACAAAAATAAGGAAGTCAAGAAAAGGAACAGGTTTTTAGAGGAAAATGAGCCAGGAGTTCTCTCTTGCACACAGTGCTGCCCCAACCTAGTCTCACCCTCTGTGTTACTTATCACACACAGCCTGAGCAGAAGAGGGCTTTTCTCCAACCCTTTCCAGATTCCTCAGCGTCACGTTAGAAACACAACAGAACAGTGCTTGAGCTGGATTACACAATGCCACACATGACAGAAGAGCAATCTGCCCATGTAAGAAAGTGTAAACGTGAAGAAAATGCACAGAGAGGATGCTTCTCTTCTCTGCACTCAGGGAAGAAAAGGTCTTTCCCTCTTTGGAGATGAAACCTCTGTTTTCAAGAAAGAAAGGATACTTAGAGCTCTACAAGCATGAATAGCATTGAAAATCCAACACATTTTGTAGCAGTTGGGACCAAACTTCACATCCCAGTAATACATCAAGGACATATGCTGTTTTCACTGTAACTGCTATGGGATGCAGGAGTAAAAAAAAAAGAAAAAGAAAAAACCCAACAACAATGAAAAAAACCTTGTCACATGGGCAAGAAGTCGGCACCTATTGGTTATAAATTACATCATAATTTCTAAAGAACCCGGTTCACATTCCCGGATTGTGCAGCACTGAGTGAGCAAGAGCTCCCTCTCCTGGATTTTCTGATTACTAATCCAGTAACAAATAAGCCCAGAAAGAATTTATCTATTGGATCAAGTCAAACAGTAGATGCTTATAGACACCCTCCTCCTCCCTGCTGTAAAGCGTGTTAAGCTATTTAGCGAAGTCAATAATGGAGGACAATGTTCCAGATGAAAAGAACGGAGGAAATCTCATGAAACATGTTACCTTCCGGCTGGAGAAATGGGCGTGCTTGTTCAGTTTTGTGTTCAGGGCTTCCAGGAATATTTCATCGGTCACTTTGCCCACATTCACACAGGCATCATCTAGTATGGCAATGATCCCTTTATGCTGTTGTTCCACCAGGTCAACAATGATTTGATTGTTAAAATAATCAATCTGTAGAATACAATAGAGTAGAGATTTATGGGTCTTCAATGGCTTGGAAGAATAAGAGAGGAAGAGAAAAGAGGAAGCTGATGAGCCAATAAAGCATGAGCACAGACAAGCAAACAAATGGTGAAACAAGAGAAAAAAACCTATCAGAGGGGCAGTCAAGGCACCTGGGAATTAAGCACTTATGTTTACTTGAATACAACGAAATCATCACCTCATTACCAAAGTCTGGTGCCCAAATGAACAGACCTAAAAATACACTGTTAAAAAAATCTGGAGGTGTTACGGAGCAGTAAACATACAGGTGAAGGGCAAAGGAAACATGCATTTTTTATGTACCTACTGTGTGCCAGACTGTGTCAAGTGCTTTATAAATAGTCTCATTTGATCCTCACAACAACCCTGGAAGGGAGGGGTGCTATTATTTCCCCCACTTTGCAGTTGAGGACACTGAGGCTAAGTGACTGGCTTCAGGTCACACAGCTAACAGAGTGTCCAAGGCTGAATTTGAACTCGGGTTTTCCTGACTCCACCTCTAGTGGTCTATTCACTATACCACCTAGTGCTGGATTTGGAGTCAGAAGACCTGGTTTGAATCCTGATGACCCGAGTGACCCTGGACAAGTCCTTTAACTTCCCCAGAACTAAGGTCTTCAAGAGTACAATGAGATGTTCACTAAGATTCCTCCGAATTCTATGATCCAGTGTGTGTGTGTGTGTGTGTGTGTGTGTGTGTGTGTGTGTGTGTGTAAATGTCCAACTGGACTTCTCTAAATAAGTTCAGTACATAACAGAACCCAGGCCAAAAAGATGGATCCTGGTGGTGACCTCCTCTGAAACCATGACTTGTTTCTTGCCTGTTTAGTGGGCTCACTAAGACCGTCTGAAGAGACAGGACTTTTAAAAGTGTTATTTTACTTTTTTAAAAATGTTGTTAGATCCATAACTCTGACTTTGGCACGTCTAGAAGGTGTCATATGGTGAAAAGAGGCCCGGGCTGGACGTCACAAGACTTGGGTACTCTTCAGAGTTAGGCCTCTAGGGGGCGCCATAGGGCACCCGCAGTAGACCTGGAGTCAGGAAGACCTGACCTCAGGCCACTGACTGGGTGTACAACCTGGGCAAATCGCTTAACTGCTATCTGCCTCAATTTCCCCAACTGTAAGATGGCGGTAGTATCTACCTAAATATAGTAAATATAAATAAATGTAGACGCTAAAAATAATAGCATCTACTTTCCAGGGTTGTTGTGAAGGTTGTCCGTGGTTATAAAATAAAGATAATGACAGCTAACATTTATGCAGTGCATACGCCAGGCACTGTTTTAAAAATGTTATCATTTGATCTTCTTAACAACTTTGGGAGGTACTATTCTTTCCTCTATTTTAACTGATGAGGAAACTGAGGAAACGGGGTAAAGTGACATGTCCAGGGTCACACAGGTAGTGCCATCTGAGGCCAGATTTGAACCCAGGTCTTCCTGACTTTAAGCCAGGCTCTCTATCCATTGCACATACTTGCCCCTAGAGACATGATAAAATATTTGTAAAGTGCTTTGTAATAATAACAACAACAGGGGCAGCTAGGTGGTGCAGTGGATAGAGCACCGGTCCTGTGTTCAAATCTGACCTCAGACCAAATACTTGACACTTGCCAGCTGTGTGACCCTGGGCAAGTCACTTAACCCCAATTGCCTAAAAATAATAATAATAATAATAACAACAACAACAACAACAACAACAACAATAATAATAGCAATAATAATAGCTGGCATTTATTTAGCCCTTTAAATGATTTCTCTAGCCCTTTATCAGCTGCTGCTGATAATGACGATATTCTTTAAGAAGGGCTAATAAATGCAAGCTATTCTTCTACCTCTTCTTTGTAGTAGTAGTAGTAGTAGTAGTAGTAGTGGTGGTGGTGGTAGTGTAGTAGCAGTAGTAATAGCAGCAGCAGCAGCAGCAGTAGGAGTTCTTAGCACTTGCTCTCTGTCATGAGACTTTTGTGAATCCAATGAAATAATGGTTACCATGGAATTTTTAAAAATTATAAAGCACTAATCAAACATTAGATTTTTATTATTATTTTCTTTAAAAATGTGTTGCCTCCACCTTAGAAAAGGGCTGGGTACTCACTACAGGCAATGCTATAAGGGTTCATGCTTTGGGTTTTGTAAATTTAATATGGAATCTAAAACCAAAAATGGATTTCAGCTTAAAGAAGAAAGTTCTATTCATCCCACCTAAACTAACAATGGATCATTTTCAAGGGTAGGTTTACAGTGAGGCAAAATTCCAATCAAGTGCCCCATAAATTATGTCTCCTGTAAAAATTTGCATCTTAAAATTTTCTTTTAACTACTAGAAAGCAACTCCAATGAGTCAGAGACTAGATTATGCAGGAAGGCCCATGGAGCGAAGTGAAAAAGGAGACTTATTTAAATGGCGACAGTGGCACGGGTAACAAAGAGCCAGGTAAGGGAGCGGGGCAGGAAGGGGAAGCAGCCTGGGATTCCAATCCCAGTCCCTCTCTTCCAGTCACTGCCCATGCAACCTGGGGCAGCTCATTTCACCTCTCCCGGGGCCTGGGTTTTTTCATCTGTAAAATGAGGAAGTCGGACGAGATGACCTCCAAGGTCCCTTCCAACCATAAATCTATGATCATCAAGTACTTTGTAGCAGCATTTTACATATGCAGCAGGGCAGGGGGAAGCTGAACTCCTGATCAGCTGAGCCCTCTCTAACACACTTGAGAAATGAATGAAAGAAGAAACGACAGAGACAATAAGGTGAAGGTTTATTGGTGCCATTTTGGAGTAGTTGCCTTAATGGCTTATAAGACCTCAAGTGGGGCCCACTCACCTTGAGTGGCCTTTCACACGTGACAAAATATGTTCCCCTTTCAGTCTTTGATGGCCACTGTAAAGAGGAGTTCTTGATGGAATTAAAGGCTGCTAGCCACTGGCTGGCATGAACATGGATCAGCCATGACCCTGACGGCATTGAAAAAGCAAAGACAAACTGAGAAAAGAGAGGAGAGTCAAGAGTGGAAGAGCCCAGCTCTTGAAGGAAAAACAGTTTGCTTTTTCCCTTGTTCTTTTTTCAAAACGCAATGAGGTTGAAGGGGAGGGGATTTCTCTCCCTCCTACTCTCTCCCTTCACTGGAGACGGCATCTTGTAGCAGATTGGCTGGCTTGGTAGGAGATACCTCATTCAGCAGAGAACAGGCTGAAAGCCTCATTGTGTTTTAGATAAAAGTATGACCAGCGATCCCAATGGAGGGACGGGCAGAGACGTTGGACTCGAGGTTCCCCCCACGTGAGGACAGAATACAGTACTAGAGCTTTGGGTTGCTTGGCCACCTGGGTTCTTTAATGTCCTCTCTGTGAGTGCCTATTCTTTTAATGACACTGGGTATATGTGTGAGAAAATATGCCCTGGGATCATGGGAGGAATCTTTTGTGACTATGATTCATACTATACCATTTCAGTGAATGCCTCTGCCTTGAGTTAATTGTGTTTTGTGGCTGACTACCAAAGGTGAATGCATTAATGGTGGCTTGTGAACTATACCTTCAGAATGGTGGACCTACAAAGTACCTAGAACCTCGGGTAAATAGTTGGTAGTTGAAGGACCCAACCCGAGACTGCAACTTGTGGTGGGGGCCCCCAAAGGGTTGCTCTATCTACATGATTGAACTGGATCCTTAAAACAGTCTGCTGAGGTAGATGTCACACCTGTTATCATAATTTAATGGGTAAAGAAAAGGAAAGAGAAGTTATTTGACTTGCCCACAGACACACAGCTAGTAAATGTCAGAGGAGGGACTGAAATTCAAGGCTAACATAATGCTAAGCCCAGAGTTCTTCCCACTATACTACACTGTCTTTTTGTACAATGAAAGACAAAAAAACAGTACTCTGAATGGTTTGTATCAGATATAAAGTCTCCAACTGACTGACATAAACATGACAACCATATGTGGAGAACATTAGGTTGTTAGTCAACAATATTTATTAAATGCCTAGCCAGGGCTTTAATCTATCACTACAAAAATATCTTCAAAATTCTTCATACCATGCCATACAAAACCAATACAAAGAGCTTTGCTTATATATTATTCTGGTAAATAAAAAAACCAAAAACAATAACTAAAGAATATGTCGACAAACCGGGCCTGGGGGTGCACGCTTGCAAACCCTGCCACCAGGAAGGCTGAGGCTGGCGTGTCTCCTGAGCTCAGGAGTTCTGAGCTGTAATGAGCTGTCTGCACTGTTTGGTGTTGATATGGTAAGCCCTTGGGGAAAGGTTGGGGTAGGGGGATTGGTTTGCCTAAAGAAGGACTCAGGTCAGAAATGGAACAGGTTAAAATTCTTAAGACAATCACAGAGAGGTCAGGCCTAGGAACGGCCCCTGATTTTCCAATCCTAGCAAGACCAGGATACCCAGTCTTAAATACAGACAAGACTGTGAGGTGGTACAGTGGATATGATGCTGGACTCAGGGTCAAGATCTGAGTTCAAATGTGGCCTTAGACATTTATTAGCTGTAGGACCCTGGGCAAGTTACCTAACTGCTCTCTGCCTCGGCACATCAGGATAAGAATAGCACCTACCTCCCAAGGTTGTTGTGAAGATAAAATGAGATAAAATGTTTGTAAGATACTTTGCAAACTATAAAACACTATAAATAAAATCATGATAAGAAATCAATGATTAAAAAAATCATCATTATCATCATCATTATACCACATACAGGGCGTTCCAAAACTCTTAGTGCCATTTAAAGCTTAAGTTTAAGCTTCTGTATGTGTGCATACACACATATATATGTGCATACACACGCATATTTATACAGACACATACATACCTATACATGTGTGTGTACGTATCTCTGAGTGGTATCCCAAAAGTCTTAGTGCAATTGTAAGCTTAAGCTTAATTTCTGCTTCATTTCTGCCCTCGGGCTGTTTTCCCTTCCTCAGGCAGTCCCTTTCTCCCTAAGCCTCAGCCACGGGGCAGGAGCTTAGGTCAATCGAGCCCCCCAGAGATGAGGAAGGAGCCTAGCAGAGGCCTTCACAAATGGGAAGTGACCGGCCACAGTCTTACCACCTGTCCCCCTAAAGGGATCATCCAATCTCTACTTGAAGAGCTTCCTCAGTGACAGGGAAACTATCCCCCATCCCCCAGACACTCCATTCAGGGGTATGCTAGAGCTAGCTGGAACAGGCTTACCAGAGCTGATCATTAAAAGTTCAGGGTGAGCATTCACACCTTGGAAATACAGCAAACCTACAAATCTGGGTTTGAGTTATTGTTTTATCTATTTATCCTCTACAGGGATGCCAAACTTAGTACAGAAAATTCATCACATCTCAGAATTTCTGCACCCAAACTTAAGTGTAAAACTGCACTAAGACTTTTGGGACACCGTGTGTGTATGTTTATATATATGTATGATATTTATTCGGTAATACTGACAAAGCAGAATTCCATTCTGATTAACATGATAACAAACTATGTTTAGATGCCATAGCAAGGGTGAGCAAACTGATGTCTTCAGGCCTGGCTACAATTTAAATTATATAACAACCAATAAGTCTCAAAATGGGGCACTGAACCTGCATTAATCAGCGGAAAGGAAGGACGGCCTCACGGACTGGGGTCCCCCTTTGCAGGTGCATTTTGGCCCTGATCTTTGGCGGGGGTCTGTCTGTTTCTTGGGCGGGAAAGACCGGGCGGCCCCAGAGCAGCAGCTTGCATGCTTTCTGCGCCCTCACTCACATGCTTCCAGGGAATCCCTTCCCGTTGGTATTCCTCCTGCTCTTGCTTCAGAACCAGCTGGATGAAGAGCTGCTGCAGCTTCTCGTTGCAGTAATTGATGCAGAACTGCTCAAAGCTGCGAGGGGGGGGCACAAGTTAGCTTTCTCGGCACCAAACCCCTGAACCCCAATCGACCCCCTCCTCACTAGACTCACCTGTTATTGTCAAAGATCTCGAACCCATAGATGTCCAAGACCCCGATGACCGTGTTCTTCCCGTGGATGACGGTGTCATAGTTCTTCACCTCAATCACATCATTGAGGCGGGTGACGATCCAGCAGAAAAGACGCTCATAGATCGCCTGGCAGGAAAAGAAAACTTGGCTACTTCTGGATGGTTGTCTTTTTGCATCATAAAAGGCAAAACTAAACCCCAGCCACAGGCCTCCTGGCAGCTCGGTGCAGGCTTGAGTGTAAACGAGTGTGCACAGCTTTTAAGCCCTTCACAGCCTGGCCCCTTCTGACCTTGCCTGCCTTCTTACCGTTTTCTTCCCTCCACATTCTCCACGTGCCTTCCTGCCGGTTCAAGCGACACGTGATGTCCCTCATACTTGAACGCCTTCCCTCTGAGAGGAATTCCCCTTTACACTGTACAAATCTGTATCACAGAACTGCTTGTCATGCTGTCTCCTCCATCAGGAGCTCCTCTAAGGCAGGAAACTTGCTTCTGCCTTTCTTTGTAGCCAGTGTTTAGCACACAGCAGGCACTTCATAAATGCTCTGTTACATTTCAGCTGTCTCAGACTCTTCAAGACTCCATTTGGGGTTTTCTTGGCAAAGATACTGGAGCAGTTTGCCATTTCCTTCTCCAGCTCATTTGACAGATGAGGAAACTGAGGCAAACAGGGTGAAGTGACTTGCCCAAGGTCACACAGCCAGTAAGTGACTGAAGCTGGATTTGAACTCAGGTCCTCCTGACTCCAGGGCCAGTACGCTATACACTGCATCACCCATATACACCCACATATAGACGAACTGCGCACGGGCATCCCAGGGTTCAAGTCTCACTTCTGACACATATTTGCCACGTGACCCTCGGCAAATCACTTAATCTTTCTGGTCCTCTGTGTCCTTATTTATGAAATGAGGTGCTGGGCTTGATGACCACTAATGTTCATTCTAGCTCTGAATCTATGATCTCCTGTAAGAAAACTCCCTCCACCAATTCCAGCCATGAGCCCCTCTACCATTTGTAGGCTCAGAGAATTTCCCAGAGGTTAAGTGACTTGCTTAGGGTCACAACACAGCCAGAATGTGTCAGAGACAGAACTCTGTGGTCTCAAGGCTGGTTCTCTTTGCTATATGTCCGTCTGTTTGCCTGTCTTCTTGGGGATGGCAAATTGGGGAAGGTGGACATGTAACTTAGGATGTGTTGAGACTAAGGAAAGAAATGGGCATGGAAGCCAAGTTACCAAGTGGTGACAAGTGGTAAAGGTCTTAACAAGGAGTTTAGGAGTGACATATAAGCCCCCACCCACAGCTCCAAAAAGGGCTGAAAATCTCAATCAGTACAGAAAACAGGAAAGGGACTGAAGGACATGGAAAGGGGACACGCACCAGTTTTCCAAAAAGGGGCAAGACCAGCATCTGAAAGCTACTGGCCGTTGACCTTGGCTTTGATGCCCAGGAAATTTCTAGAACAGACCACCAAAGAGATGGCTCACAAACACCTAGAAAAAGCTACACTGAGCGCTGAATCAGATAATATGGCTGCTAGTTCTCCAAACTCAAGTTGGGTCCTTTCTCAAATGCCTTATTGGAGATAATCTCAGGGATAACATTAATAAATGAGATTTTTCTTATGAAACTATGTAGTGTATGGAAAATTCTATTTTAACAAATTCCAAAGGAAATAAAGATAAAAAAATTTCTAGCAGAATTTTTGTGAAAAGTCCATGGCTACAATAGTTCCTTGGACCACAAGGAATTTGTCACCTGCCATTTGTGCATTTAGAATTTTTCTAAGTTGTCAGCCAGACTCTAGGATGGCAGGGGCTGTGTTTTAGCTACATGTGTCTCCTCGCTATTAAGCACAGTGTTCCGCACACAGTAGGGCCACATAAATGTTTCTCGAATGTGAATGGTTACAATTACGTTCTTAATATAAAGAAATTGGACCTTAAATTTAAGAAATTTAATGGAGTTCTTTAAATAAGGGAAAGAGAAAATAGATAATATGCCTTTAATTATACTTCTTCCTTCCAAGTTCCTGGACTTTTTTTAGGAACTACATTATGGGTTTCCTTTCCTTTTTTTCTTTTTTTTAGGTGGCATGTTTATTTTTGGAAGAGAGCGACATATATTTAAAGTACGGAAGAGTAATGGGATCTGAAGGGTAATTGCTGATTTGGGGTTTAGCTCTCCTCTCCCTTTCTACAGTCTTAATGCATAAGCAAATACTTCTTTTATAAAGAACCAATGTTATAAAGAAGCAATGTTTATGGAGCTGGAGAAAGCAACTGATTTGCTCAATTGCTCAATGTGGAGAACAAATTCTCATCTTATAGGCAAGGCATTGTTACTATAAAGGCATCTGCGGTCACATAAAAATGGTGGACTTATACGGAATCTTTATCACTATAGTGGAATTTTCCCAACACAAGGGAGTCAGAAAAGTATCAGCACAATCTGCAGGATACCTGACTTACTTCCAGAGAATAACTCACTGATGGTATCTAACTAAGGTTAACACTAATGAGGTCCGTGGAAAGGCAACTGGAATTACCTTTGCAAAGGCATCTCGGCCATAGCTGGCTTCCTGCTCAGTGTGCTGCTTGTCAATGATATCACGTCCTGTCGCCACCGTCCGGTAAAGCAGGGCTTTCTCAACCAAATCAGACTTAGTAGAGAGCAATTCTGCGATGACAGATACGACTTTGCCATTTTCAATCAGAGTTACATCACCATCCATTATAAATTTTAAATTCCCCTAGGGAAGAACAGTATGTACAATACCTTAAAAGAGACAACTGACACTGTTTTGGGAATCAATTTGTCATTCTAAATTTTAAGCTGAGTCAATTCTCTTATGGTATTTGTTTGTCCAGATATTTTTGTTCAGTCATTTTGCAGTCGTGTCTGATTTTCCATGACCCCATTTGGGGCTTTCTTGGAAAAGATACTGGAGTGGTTTGCCATTTCCTTCTCCAGCTCATTTTACAGATGAGGAACTGAGGCAAACAGGGTGAAGTCACTTGCCCAGGGTCACACAACAACCAGTAAGTGTCCAAGGCCAGATCTGAACTCAGGAAGATGAGTCTTCCTTACTCCAGGCCTAGCACTCTGTGCATGCTGGTGCCACCTAACTGCCATGTCTAGATATAGGACATCCTTTACATACAAAAATTTGTTCCACTACCCTATTTGAATTCAGATCTTCTTGCCCCAGGCCCACTCAACCACCAGGTAGCCACTAGAAGTTTAAACATGACCTTAGACACTTATGAGCTGTGTGACCCTCGGCAAGTCATTTAAACTCTGTTTGCCTTTATCCACTGGTGAAGGAAATGGCAAACCACAATAATATCTTTGCTAAGAAAAGCCCATGGACAACACTAGCCTGCTATGATCCATGGGGTCATTAATGGTCAGATACAACTGAACAACTACCTTATTTTCCTTCCCTGCCATCACATTGTAGTTTTTAGTCTGGCCACTAGATGGCAGGAAGAATCAGGCATTGAGAACAAACCAGCCAGTGATGGCAGGTAAGAAAAGGGGAAACAGTGAAAGCAGGGGTGGAGCGAGTGCTCAGACATTGGGCACAGGAAGAAACCTGGGGGCTTGGAGAAAGGCAGAAGAGAACTGATGCCTAATGAGGTTTCTCATTTACAATGCAACGTTGTGTGTAATTGAACTCTTTAGTCAACTGAAGATATATGACAGAATAAAACGAAGCCATAATGAAGATGTGGTCACGTATCTATCACCTTAAAAGGCGCCATAGCTACAAAGGGATTGGTACATCCAACTTTGGAAGCATCTGACTACATCGAAAGGCTCTGTTACAAATAAGACTGTGCTTTGCATTTAGAAAATGAGAAATAAAGACAAAGGATGTGGACTGTCATTACATAGCAACAATGTGAGGAATAAAGAATTCATAATTTTGTGTTATCAGAAAAGAACAGCCCAAAGTCATGAGGAAAGAGACAGCACCTAAACAGAACTTTTCATCTACTCAGATTTTTGGTGGTTGATACTTGAAAAAAAAACCCAAAACAAAAAATCATCTTTCTCATTCTCATCTTCCTCAGAATTATTATAGTATAAAATCATGCAAGTTTCAGCTGGAAATTACCCAATTTTTAAAAAGGCTAAAAGCATGGCTTCTAATCTACAGAGCTGGGGAGAAGCCAGAGTTACAGTATAAATTTCATTGTGGAAATTTTAATAGAAACATCACGGCTGTGGAGAAGACAACAGGCACTCTTGTTTCTTCAAAAATCTGAGATTTTTCCAAATCAAATTCCTCTGGAGAAGTACCCAGTACAGCCAAGGCCTCCTGACATATTGCATTGCGGGCACGCGTTGGGGGAAGCGTTCTACTCACCAAATGGAGAATGGTAGCCAGAATTTTATAAACGGTTTGAATCTCCTCCGGCTTGAAGCCTATCACCTTCATGGCTTCCGCTACACCTTTGAAATCTGCAGCATCATTGATGGAAGACTAAGAACAAAACCCCATGGCACAAGTCAGGCAGGTTTGTAATTCAAGAATCCCAACACCCTGGATGTGAACCTGAATCCAAAACTCCCCCCATGCCTTAGCCCTATGAGGTAAATGATGACAGAGGCAGGTTTCTACCGCAATCAAAATGACATAATTAGACTGAAGAGAGCCCTGAGAAAATCAGGTAATGTGAGGGGTGAAAAGGAATAGGAGTTAACTTGAAGAGGAGAAGGCTGCAGGTTGGCTTAAGTGCAGGCTTTTTAAAAGTCAATGTGGAACACAGCAGCTGTCTCCATTGTCTTTATAAAACAGAAGAGGACATGTGCTTAATGTAAGAGATGTTTCAGGCAGGCAAAGAAAGAACGGACTGATTAACTTAGTGATCAAACACTGGAGTAGACTAAGAAAAAAGTTACAGGAGCTCTCTCCATGGAGGTTTTAAAAAGAGAATAGGCAACCAGCTCTCTTGAGGGGTTTACACATTTATCTGACTGAAGTCGGGGAGGGGAGGGGAGGGGGCGCTGGACCAAAGAGCACTGTGAAGCCCCTTTTGACTCAGTTTCTCTTCTAGAACAATCTCAGTCAGTAAAACCTCACCTTTAGCTGCGCTCCTCCACGGATGTAGTTGTATGACGAGAGACCCTTCTGGAGATGTAGAGAGCGCAGCAACTGCTCAGAACTCCCTTGAAGCAACTGGCAAAGATCAAAATGTGGATGATTATCAAGAACTAAAAGGAAGCTGGAGACAGGCAGGTCACTGGTTTGGTGCTTTTTAACCTGCAGTCATTTCCTGGGCTTTGTGCACTCTAGATAATTCAGGCAACTCTGCAACTCTGACCTGGGGCAGGGCTGCCTGGACTGGTGAGTCTGAATTCACTTAAATCACTCTACTCAGCTGGCCCTAGACCACCTTTCACATCCCTTCCAGTGATCCACCCTGGACATCCTGTCTGCCCTTCTGCTAACCCCCTTCTCCCCACATGGCACAGCCCCTTATAGATCAGACCTCTGCGGACCAGGACCTCCTCCCTAGTGCGGTTGAAATTTTCACTTTTGGAGTACTACACTGGGGCTGACCTGTCCATTGGTGAGTGAGGGAATCCAAACTTGACTAACCCTGTCTATGTCTCTGTCTCTGCCTCTGACTATGTCTATGTCTAACTTATGTCTAGATGCTTTAGACATCTCTAGCCATCCACCCCAGACATCTTACCATTTACCCCGTGGAATACTCTCTAGTTGCCTCTCATCCTTACTTTCTACCTTTCCTCTGGGAAAAGGAATCTAATCAGTCAGTCAGTCAACAAGGATTTATTAAGCACTTATTATGGGCCAGGCACTGTGCTAAGTGCTAAGGATGAAAAAAAAAAAAGACACAACATGATCCCTGCCCTCAGGGAGCTCCCATTCAAACAGGTCCTACCACTGCCAGGACTGCTACAGGAAATGGCATGACAATCACTCAACTCTCTCATGGCTCTACTCACCATCCCTGGCCACCACTCCCTTTTGTGTGATTTCTCTCATTTCGATATGGAAACACCTTGTGGGCAGGTATTACCTCATTTTTGTATTTATATATCCTTGTAACCTAAGCCAGTTCCTGGCCTATAAGAGGCAATTAATGTTTTTCCCTCATTCCTTCACTCCTCCTGCTTTTAGAGTATGAAATTTTTTCCCCTCGGAGACAAATGGCTTCATTGTCTTTCATTATGGAGAAAATGATACAACCGTGGTGTAAATCACTTTAAGGAGAATCAGGTCATCTGACTCCAAGACCACAGTAAAAATGCCTGACTTCTAATGCTGCTTTTTGGAAGCAGATTAGATCCCCTTCAGTACTCTCATTTTCCAGGTAGCAGGTGTTTTGGGATTGAAGCCCTTCTTTCACTAGCCATGGAAATAAAGGCATCAGAAGGGCAAGTCACGTTCTGAAAGAGACTCAAAAGAAAAAACTTCACATTCCCAACTCCACCATTTTAGATGGCCAAGAGCTCATGTGCCAAGGAGCTAAGCAGTCCTCACCTGAGTCATTTATGAAAAACATCAAGGAAAGATAAGGTTCTCTGGGTCAGAAGGCCAGGCATATTAGCCTAAAACCATAAAAACAACAACAACAAAAAACCCAACCCAAACCAAAGACACTGAGAATGAAGACAACTTTCAACAAAAGCCCAAAGGCAACACAGATAACCCATAACGTACAGAGCAGATGCAGCCTAGAAAAATCTTTAAAACTAAATTCTGCATATTGTACTTGGCACATAATAAGCATCTCTCTGTGTGCCCACTGAGATGTGAGTATTAGGGAAGGCTATGCTAGGGATGCTGAGAAGCCATGGGGTCTAAGAGAAAGAGCGCATAAGACGTGGAGTCGGTCACATCCCAAATTAAAATCGCAGTTCTGATAGTACTTCAGTTGTACAACGATGGGCAAGTCATTGGACCTCTCGGAACCTTTGTTTCTTCATCGGTAAAATGGGGACAGTAGCTGGCACTCATAGAGCTCTTTAAGGCTTGCAAAGCATTTTACACACCTTATCTTATTTGATCCTCACAACAACCCTGTGATGTGGATGCTACTATTTCTCTTGTACAGGTGAGGACACTGAAGCTCAGGGAAGTGAAGGGACTAGCCCACAGTCACACAGCTCATAAATGTCAAAGGCCGGATTTGATCTCACCTTCCTGATTCTAAGTCTAGCAGTTTATTCACTGTGTCACCTCTGCCGTCTGCCACAAATGCTGCCTCCGCTGCCCACCACAAATGCTTCTAAGTAGAGTGTGGTGGTTGTTTTTTGTCCAACTGTTACATAATAATTGCCCCCAAAATAGATGAGGTTGGCCTGGGTGGGGCTCGATGGGTGGGTGGGGATTTGACTCAGGATTTAAAAACTAGCATAAGGAAGGTGACAAGCAGTCAAAGTCTACTGAACCCCAAAGGTTCTCCAGTATATTTGCAGGTCTCTGATTGAAAGCCTGCAGACTTCCTCTACAATGATATAGTAACTTCTCCACCCTGGAAGCTCACTCTACTCCTGAACTTCACATACTGGAAGCATCCTCTCCATCTTCCCCCCTTTTATTGGCTGGTTCCTCCCAGAAACTCCATTAGAAGGAGGACACTGCTCTTTTCCTTTCCTCTCCTCTCCTCTCTCCTCACCTTTTCTCTCTTCTCTCTCCCCCGTCTCTTTCTCTCTCTCTTTCCTTCTCCTTCCCCCGCCACAGGTCATGGTTGAGCTTTAAAGATCCTACAGTTCCATCAGAAGTCCTACCAGCATCTAGAACCACCAGAAGATGGTGACAACTTCAGGGAATAAGACCCCTTGTGGCAGAAAGAAGTGCTATCACTTGGAACCCAATGGAGAGATTCACTTAAGGAAAATTTCCTGAGGAATCTACAAAGGGCTCCAGAGGAGAAAATGAGGCTGATAACTTTGCACAGCCCTCCCTCACTTAAATCCAATTCACTTGCCATCGTGGCATCACCTCCCTGATGTCATGGTCCTCTCCGAGAACGAAGGACAAATAACAGCTTTTTAATTGGGGGGCTTCTGTGGAAACAGCAACTCAGGGCCTGCACTAAGGACTCATTTAAGGATAAACATTCTCAGGTTCTTCATCTGACCTTCATATGACATGGACTTGAAACCTTTCACCATCCTACTTGCCCTCTTCCGGACCATCTCCAGCTCAGTGTCCTGCTTAAAATGGAACCATGCCCAAGACTGAATATAATGCTCTGGATGCCGCAGGTCTCCGATCCAAAGGGGTCAGATTCTGATTTCTGCATCATACCCAACCCAAGGTGGCTCCCTATCCAATCAAGGGTGACCTAGCTTTCCACTAGCCAGATGAGACTACATAGGAAGCTAATTTGGAACAAAGCAGCTCCTCTACTGCACAATCAGCAGCAGTATCATTATCATCATTGCCTTTTACAAATAAATGACTAACAACAACAACCAAAGAAAAAGCCAAAAGAAGGCCGTCCAGGCCAGCCAGCTCTTCACTCCTCTCCAGACCTTGCCTACCACACTTCTGGGTCAAGCACCTCCAGCTCTCTCCCTCCTGACACTTTTCAGTTCCCTTTTATGTGTTGCCTTCCCTATTAGAATGTAAGCTCCTTGAGGGCAGGGCCTGTCTTTCTGCTTGAATTTGTATTTGCAGGGCTTAGCCCCTGCCTAGCACATAGAAAGTGCTTAATAAACGACTGGTGACTTGACTAGATTATATATCTGATTTTTTTAATTGTCATTCCAAATACTTTATAATGCATTGTCACAGGCAGTCACTTGCCTCTACAAAGGCTGCCCTGCTTTAAAAAAGGAGCTAAACATATAAATATAAATGTATATAAACATACACATATACACATACATATATACACACATAGGCATATATACACATAATACATATATGTATACATCCATACATATACATATGTCTATGTATATGGGAAGAGGCGGCAGTGCCCCTTAATACTATCTATTGCACCTACCAGAGAAGGCTGTAGTGACAACCAAACAAGGTACAAAGTGTCCCTCTCAATCAAATGGATCTAAGTACCACATAACTGTCAGCTACCATTGTTACTGTTATTGGGGCTGGCAGGTGGCACAGTGGATAGAGGCTTGGGGCCTGGAGTCAGGGAGACCAGAGTTCAAGTCTGAACTCAGATACTTCCAAGCTGTGTGACCCTGGGCAAATCACTTAACCTCTGTCTCAGTTTCCTCATCTGTAAAATGGGGATGACAATAGCACCTAACTCCCATGGTTACTGCGACCATCAAATGAGATAATAATTATAAAGTGCTTAGCATATGACTGGCACATAGTAACTGCCATATAAATGTCAGATTTTATTATTACCATTATTGTTCTTAGAAAGAAAAAAAAATTATGTTGTTCCTTAAAAAAAGGACTTTCATTTTTCTTCTGCAGGAAGTCTTTACCAGCCCTTCTCAGCTGCTAATGTCTTCCCCTTTCAGATTTCATCTTACCCCATACATATCTTCTATATCTCCCTCATTAGAATGTATACTCCTTGAAAATAGGGGCTGGTTTGACTTCTGTATTTTATTTGTGTCCTTGGCACTTAGCACAGTGCCTGGCACATAGTAGGTACTTTAAAAAAATACTTCTCTAATGATAAGACATACATAATGGTATTAATTTGTAAAGAAAGGAGTCATATTTTTACATAGACAGGTCATATACATTAAAACATCTCTATAACTACTAGGTTTTTACTAATGTAATTGCCATTTTTAGACACTTCAATTACTCTTGACTGCTGCCTTTTAAATAGCGGCAGCAAAAGCCATTTTATGAACTGTAAATTTAAATATGCTAAATTTGCTGTTTTATAAATTCTCTAACAAAAAAATTCTTGAGTTTCCAGGAAACACAGACTCTATAAGCCCTTTATTTTGTATTATAATGGAAATCATTGGTTTTACCCTTCATGTCTCTAAATTTCATTGGTTACACTACCCATGGTAATGAGATACAGTATGTTTATCCAAGTGGAGCAATGCCTCTGGTTAAATACTCATAAGATTACCTAATAAAACCCCCCCCTCAGCCCAGAGGAAGCAGGAGAGAACATATTTTTTCTTGCATAACAAAATAAACAATTACCTACTTGTTCAACAAGGAAAAACTAACCTGGTAGAAGGAATGAAAGCTTCTTTCTCCGGGCTGCTGCACGATCACTCGAGACTAAGAAAAACACACACATTCTCAGAAACGTCAAAATGGTGATTTTCTGAGTGTCAACCTCTAGTAATACAAGGGATTAAAATTTTTTTTTTTGCTCTGAGAGAATCCTATCGGTATTACTGCCAAATCCGCACAAGACTTTCTTGTGTAATATCCATTTGGGATTTTATCCTTCCTAAGGATAAGTAGTAGTCTGATCAATTTCTCACTCCTTAAGGCAGGGGGCCATAAACTTTAGGGGATGCAAAACTACTGTGTTCCTAACTCAGTCTTAAGATTGCCTTAGGAAATGGGATAAGAAGGGCGTGGAAAGAGATCTTATCCTTAAAAGCCAAGAGAAGGGCACAGCCAAAAGGTAAAGAATACCACATGCCCATTCCCACACCCTATTTTTCAAGTAACAGAAGTCACTGGCCCAGAATCAAGCCATTATCAATAAATGATCAGAATGGATCAAAATAAAAAAAAATATATTCTAAAGAAATGACCACCAGAATATGGCTTTAGGTGATTGCATCTTCAGAAGGATTTTCTATTTTTAATGTATATATAAGGCCAATTGGAGAACCCTTTGGAAAATATGTTGATAATACTCAGCCTTTTATGTCCTTCTCAAGGGATTCTGATAATGCGGCTGTGCCCCATCTGGCAGAGATTCAATCTAGAGAAAATGGCGATTATGCTACTACAGAGTGAAGCAGGAACCTTCTAAGAGAATGTGCTGGGGTATCATTTTTCACCTCAATCTGAAAGAAGACATCAGCACTGCTAGCACCTTACCTTCCTACTCCTCGTCACTCTCTTTCAGAGCATAATTCAACGCAGTGAGACAGGTCTATAAAATGTTACTTGATCTATAAAATCAGAGCATTAGAGTATATGATTTTCAGGCTCTATGATATCTTTTTTCCTGGCAATCAAGACTGATTTAGCTATGGTGGCTGACAATTCCCCCAGAAGGAGGCTTTGCATAATCTCTTGTAAATTTGGCCTTATAGTTACATGGATGAAGCAGGATGAAACATATTCTCAGTTTTCACTAAATACAAAACAGTGAATGTCAGGACTAAGATTTTTTTTTCCAATAAGTCTATAGCAAACAATAGTGAGTAAATCGAAAGTAGGCAAAGAAAATAATATGGCTCCAAAAGAATTAAATAAAAACATGGGAAATGGTGGTTTGCAATCATTAGAAAGATTATGACATTATTGCAAATAACCTCTCAGTTTGATCACTTGCACCTTACCCAAAATGCAGGCCACAAGTCTGAAAGCATGAAGAATAAGCGGAAAAGAGAAATTTTATCTCTGTCACATATAGCATCTTCAAAATTGATATTACACAACAAAAAGCTGATTTTAAAGAATATAGGAAAAAACATCTTCTGCCATGAAGGAAAGCATTAACTAGAGGGAAGGAAAGGAAGGAAAAGAGGGTAGGACAAGAAACTACTTTTAAGCAGCAAAACAAATGTATTATATTGGGCAAATGACATTAAGGAAGATTAAACATGAATCTGACATAACACTGCTGTTGGAAATAAGGCATATTTTACCTTCTCTAGTAAGTAATTATTGATGTGTCCTCCTATAGGATCCCCTTTGAAATCAAAGTTGATATCCATATACTTTCCAAATCTACTGGAGTTGTCATTACGGTTAGTTTTGGCATTTCCAAAGGCCTCCAGTACACAGTTGGATTTCAACAACATATTCTTCACCCTTTAGCACAGAGGAGTGAAAGGACATAGAAACAGGTTCAGAAACGCATTTGTAAAAAATCTAGACACTCTGCCTCTTAAAAGGATGCTGTTGTTTAGTCATTTCAGTCATGTTTGACTCTTTGTGACCCCATGTGGGGTTTTCTTGGCAAAGACACTGGAGTGGTTTTTCATTTCCTTCTCCAACTCATTTTACAGATGAGGAAACTGAAGCAAACAATGTTAAGTGACTTGCTCAGGGTCACACAGCTATTAGATGTCTGAGGCCAGATTTGAATTCAGGAAGATGAATCTTCCTGACTCCTGGGCTGGAATTCTATCTACTGACCCACCTTGATGCCTTAAAAAGATATATTTAATATAATAGCCTAAGCAAAGGAGTGATCCAGTGCCAGTCATACCAAAATGTGTGTATTTCTTGTGCTAATTAAATGTGTTGACTCCCAATTTTGTGTTAATTTTACTCCTCCAGATAAGTCTTCCTCAAAGGACAAAAATTTGTTACTGTTAGGGATATTTAAAAGAACGTACCGAAGTCTATAGAGGCAATTCCAAACAGGAAATTCTAAAAATATTCTGAGTCGTTGCAGAATGTAGGAATGTCTTTGGCCTCCCAAGATGGCTACTTGGAAAGGGACGCTCAAATGGAAATTTTCATTCTGATATATTTACTCTCCCAAAATGAGTGACCTTCTTCCAATGAAGTCTTCTGCTGGTGATGCCCATAAGGGACAGAAGAGAGCCTAGGGTCTCAAAGGCTATGCTAACACAGCTCAGACTCCATCAGCTCCTTTCAAGCAGAAAAAGTTTTGAGGTTTCTAGCAATAGACTGTATGTCTGTCATCTCAGGAGCAGCCAAGCTAAGTTTTGAGAAACTCATTACAAGTTGTCAGTGTAGCAGAGTAGATAGAGACAGGTCCTTGAAGCCAGGAAAAGCTGGATTCATTGGTTTCTGACATATACTGGCTGAAAGATCCTGGAAAAGTCATTTACTCTTTAAATGTTCTAAGCCAGAAGTGTTGTGTGACCCAACCAGATTTAAATGTAATTGGGAAATATTTACCAAAACAAATAAAAATACAAGATAGATAATGTTCATTTGTGGTATTTTAAGTTGACATGGAGCCCACAGAGTTCACTTCTACTCGAGTTTGATGCCAATGCTCTCGGCCAGGGCTTCTTTCACTCTTTCCACTCCTAACCTCTTCTCACGTTTCTGGTAGCACTTGTTGGCCCTGCGGGGCCTGAAGGCGTGCACAGCACAAAGTGAGCATACTTTGTGTTCAGAACCAAGACAGCAGCGAAGCTGTGCAATGCAACACCGGCGAGCACTGCCAGAAACACCTCAGATTCATCATGCAACTGATTTTTAATTAATTTTAGGCCACTGGGCATTCAGAAACTTTTTACTGTTGCCAAATTTTTCATGACCCCATAGGTGGTCGTGACCAGCACATTAAGAAGTGCTGCTCTAGGCAGCTCTCTAAGACAGGGAAGCTATTGACTTGCATCAGAAGGTTGATTTTCCTCAGTTGGGAGTTCCCTTTACCAATGGAATCACAAGTGCAGTTCCTATTCTACAACAATTCTGGCCACTCAGTGATGCCTTTTTGTTTGTTTCAACCTTAGGCATGCATGAAGACCATTTAGTACAGTGCAGAGGAGGTACATCTACTCCAGGGATTGAAGGAATATTCTTACCAATAAAATCACAGACTCTAATGTTGATGTTGTCATATAACTTTACAGGCATATTTTATGTGTTGGCATGAGGACAGTCACTATGTCCTTTTTATAAGGTATTTTGTCTTTTATGCCTACATGATGTGAATAGGGCAAAAATCTTGGGTTGCACTGTAGTCAGGCCTCACACTGGGACTTCTCAGCCTTGTTTTAGCCCCTGATCACAGACGGCCATCCTAACCCAGTCTGCCTGCAAAAATCAGTCAGCCTCTGAAAGAAAAATGGCTCTGTGCATACTGCATTAATGGTAGTATGGAAGGTATCAAATGATTCCTAATCAAGGCTAGGTACAGAAGAGTTTTTGGGAGGTAGCATTTATATATTAGAAGTTCAAAACCTCCATTCATTTCAAATAAACTTTTCTGTGGAATGCTTTCTAGCAACAGCTAATACTTTATAGAGAGAGTTGTCTGGGTTAAAAAATGCTTTCCATCCATTTGAACTTCACTGTGCCCTGGGAGGTATTTAGTAACAAAAATAGCCAGTATTTATGTAGCACTTTAAGGTTAGCAAAGTGCTCCACAAACATGATCTCATTTTAGTACAGACAGCAGGGATATTATTATCTGCAATTTGCAGATGAAGAAACAGAAGCACAGACAGGTTTAGCAACTGGATTCAGAACCCAGAGTTAAATAGCAGACCAAAGATCTGAATCCGAGACTTTAAGCTCCAAACCCAGAGCTCTTTCCAAATACCAGAGCTGCCTCTTAGAGAAATAGCTAAGTATCTGAAACACAGTAGCAGGAGACACCACCCAGTAAGACTGAAGTGGCTTGGTTATCAACAGATAGTTACTGAATGACTGGACAGAATTTAAAGATGTAAGCTTATGCAAAAAATTTGGCTTTGATAATTTGCAAAATATACCCTTACCTTTCAACCTCTGCTCTCTGGCTGGGATTGGTAATGGCAGCAATATACTGCATTATATATTTACTGGCTTCAGTTTTCCCAGCACCACTTTCACCTAAAATAAACCCATAAACATGAATTACACAGCACATAATCATTCAAGCTCAAAGCAGCAACTAAAATAATATATATTTTTAAAAAAACACATCATCTAACATTATCATGGGTCACTTAACATGACTCCCCTTCTCACTCACACTTGGGTGGGCTTTGAAATACTTGATATGACATCTGACTTCTTATAGCTTTAGAAAGAATAGGTCACTGCAAAAGGAAAAAATAATACAAGATGAAGATTTATAAGGATTGTTTTTGAATTCAAGACATAAAAGGTCTGAAATAAACTTCTAAGTTTGAAAGATGAATAACTCTCAGGACTGACTGCTAATCAGGTGAAACAGAAATATTTTAAGAATTGAATAGCTGTTCATTGTTAAGATCACTGACTTACAATAGAATTTTAAAGACCCTGGTTGTTTAAAAAAAGGAAGAAGATGTGATTCTTTCAGGCCATAAAGGGGGAAAATTACATTCAGTGGCTTCAGCAAGGAAAGAGCTAGAAAATTAGGGAGTTACAATTAGGAGTGTGTAATACAAAAAAAAAATGAATCAGGAATCATAACATGTGGGATCTGATCTGGGCACACTGACCTTACCAAGCTGTTTGCATGACCTTGGGGGAAATCACACATTCTTTCTGAGCTTCAGTTTCCTCATCTGTAAAATCAGGATAATAATAACTGCCCTACCTTCTTTCCATGGTTGTCATGACAACCAAATGAGATAACAGATGTGAAACTACTTTTAAAAGCATGAAATGCTCCATTGATATATGGTGTTATTACTAGTAAAGGCAACTTTCTGTTTGTGGATGGTTTGGTCTATGAATACAGAAATCTCAGAGTATTGTGCTACACACAAAGGAACAATTGTTCCATAAAATGCTACAGCCACCTACTTTTTACTCACAGCTCCCCTTTTCAATATATATGTGTGTACATAAATATATATACACATATATTTCAATTCTTCAGTTACATCTGTGGACAAAGTCTCTAGTAAATGATAACCTCCTTTTTTTTTTAAACACCATGTAGTTTCAGAATAGGGGCGTTCCCTGCTTGATGATGGTAACTATAAACAAAAACATTGTCAGATGAAATGATGTGATTGGAAGCAAATTATAAAACAGTAACCAGTTAAACAATATTACACTGGGATATTGCAACTTTATGGCAGGAGTTGGTTATAACGTTGTTGTTCACCCTTCATTTTTGAAGAGGACTAAAGACATTACGGTTGATGTCTTGACTTGCTCATGAATTAAGATTTAAGTAAGGCAGAGTTGTACAAAGTCATCAGCCTCCCTCTTCCAGTGGCAGGACAAAAGTCAAGATGACTGCTGATGACTCAGGATGCAGTGGATGACCTTGGCATCTTCGATGCCTGACCAAGCTCTAAGCACTCGTCAGAATCTGTTTTAGCCACTTCCATGACCACTGGGACATACTTTTCTCCTCTGCCCATTCTGCCAAAGGAAGTCTTCACATGCTTATAGTAGACATCTCCCTAACTCAGCAAGAGGTCTGAGGACTGTTGGTTGTCCTTAACCTGATTTATCCCATCTGCCTAGACGTTTTCACCAGGGTGTGGCTGCTGTGCATGCTACAACTTCTTGAAGTCACACACAGGTAAGAATTGGGTGAAAGGTGGACATCAAAGGTGTCCTGAAAAGGGCCCGGCAAGCCCTCACACCAGAGGTGTTAGTCGTCCCCGACACCTCCCTATATATCAAGATTGTAATATATTGATGATATTATTGCCAAATGCTGTTTATCAGGGGAGCCTTATGGGCACATGTTTATACATTGCTAGCCCACCTGTCTCCACTTCCTACAGTGGGAAGGCCAATAACTTCCCATCTTAGCTTGCCCCCTGATACAGGGAAACATCCTTCACTCACAAAAAAGGGAGTTAGCTCCATTGCTACAATTGTTGGAAATTTCTAACGGTAAATCCTAGAATAAGAAGGGTTTCCTATATGTGGATATAAATATAAAGGTAAGGAATCCTTGAACAAAATGAACGCATAAGAGGAGTAGGAAGACACCAGTAAACTATTAGGGAGGCTGAGGAAGATTTTAGTTTAAAAGAAAAATGCATCCACCTATTAGTTCTAATTCTTCTTTACAACATGACTAATGTGAAAACATGTTTAATAGGAATGTATTATTGCATGACATCTTGGGGAGGGAGGCGGGGAAGGAGGGAAATAAAATTTAAAACTCAAAAGCGTATGGAAGTGAATGTTGAAAACTAAAAATAAATTAATAGAAAAAAAGGAAAAAAGAAAAGAAAAATGCATACTTATATAACCCTACCTCAATGTGACCATTTCTTGACTCCCCTTATCACATATGTGAAACTGATTTTTTTTTTTTACTTGTTGATAGATGGAAAGTAGAAGATCAAGGGTTAGGAGAAGAGAGGAAGAAACAGAGTAGGATAGGAATGACATGATGGGCAAGTCCCATTAAGACAGTCTTCCAGGTGTTGTTGGGACAATCCTTTTTAATTACTTGCATTACACAAGTATCTTAGAAAGTGGCCTAGAACCAAGACAGATTGTTCTGGGGCATTTATCTGCACACAATCTGTGACATACTATAGATTTATCAAACTCCTCACATCAAAATCTTAAACTGGAATAGAGTAGTTTACAAGTGGTTCACAGAGTTAAGAGCTTTGCCTACAGCTTAGAGCTTGGGATATTGGGTCCTAAGGAAAGGCATCCTTTTTAACTCAACTGCTTTGTATCAAGAGAACATGGGATAAATAAAACAAAATGAGAAAGCTATCCAACTCACTGAACCAGTGTTGTATAAGTCCCAAAACATCAACTATTCACAGAAGGACCCTGTATTTAATGAAAGCTGCTGTGAAAACTGGAAAACATCTGGCAGAAATGAGATTTAGATGAGTACCTTCCAACATATACCACAATAAGCTCAAAATGGATATCCAATTTGAATATAAAAAAGTCACATCACAAGAAAAAAATGAGAAGGAAAGTAGATCAGGTACCTTTTGTAACTGTAGCTGAGAAAAGAACTTTTAACCAACCAAGGGTTGAAGATTACAAAAGATAAAATCAGGTCTAAGAAATAGAGTGGTGGATCAGTGGAATAGATTAGGTACACAAAACACAACAGTCAATGACTATAGTAATCTACTATTTGATAAATCCAAAGATTCCAGCTTCTGGGATAAGAACTCACTATTTAACAAAACTTCTGGAAAAACTGAAAAATAGTAAGGCAGAAACTAGGCATAGACCAACAAGTTATACCCTACACCAAGATAAAGTCCAAATACATACATGGTTTAGATATAAAGACTGATTCTATAAGCAAACTAAGAGAGCAAGGAATAGTTTACCTGTCAGATCTATGGAGAAGGGAAGAATTTATGAGCAAACAAGAGATAGAGAACATTATGAAATGCAAAATGGATGATTTTGATGACATTAAATTGAAAAGTTTTTGCACAAAGACAATGCAACCAAGATTAGAAGGGAAGCAGAAAGCTAGGAAGCAATTTTTACAACAAATGTCTCTGGTAAAGGCCTCATTTCTAAAATATATAGAGAACTGAGTCAAATTTATAAGAATTCAAGTCATTTCCCAATTGATAAATAGCCAAAGGATAAGAATAAGCAGTTTTCAGAGGAAGAAATTAAAGCTATCCATAGTTATATGAAAAAAATGCTCTAAATCACTATTGGAGAAATGCAAATCAAAACAGCTCTGAGGTATGACATCACACCTTTCAGATCGGCTAATATGATAAATGTTGGTGAAGATGTGGGAAAATTGGAACACTAATGCATTGTTAGTGCAGTTGTGAACTGATCCAAACCATTCTGGAGAGCAATTTGGAACTATGCCCAAGGGGCTATAAAACTGTGTATACCCTTTGACCCAGCAATACCACTTCTAGGTCTGTATCCCAAAGAGATCATAAAAATGGGGAAGGGACCCATATATACAAAAGTATTTATAGCAGCTCTTTCTGTGGTGGCCAAGAATGGGAAATTGAGGGGATGTCCATCAACTTGAGAATGGCTGAACAAGTTGTGGTGTATAAATGTCATGGAATACAATTGTGCTATAAGAAATGATGAGCAGGTGCACTTCAGAAAAATCTGGAAAGACTTGTATGGTCTGATGCTGAGCGAAGTGAGCAGAACCAGGAGAACATTGTACGCAGTAACAGCCACAGCCGGCCATCTCCAGTCATCCTGATGAATATCTAGCCACTGGACCCCGAAGGCTCTGGAGGAGAAACTGACGCTGGTGACCTTGCACAGCCCTTCCTCACTCAAATCAAAGTCAATTGCAAGTCATGTCATCATCTCCCTGATGTCAGGATCCTCTTCTAGAACAAAGGTCAAACACAAACTGTGAGCAGTTTGAGCTGCCTGAATAGGGACCCAGCTGACCAGTTCCAGTTGGGTAACTCAGCTCACTATCCCCTCTCCCCTCTCCTCTTACCTGAGGGTGCTATACCCAAAGGAAGGTAAATTTTGATGGCCAAAAGCTGCTTATTTAACATGGGGTTTACTGACTAGATTTCTCTCTCAAAGACAAGCCTTAAATCCAATTCATTCTGGAGCTCATACAGGTCACTGCTCAAGCACCACTTAGTGGTTATTTTTTGGGCCCTCCCTGCAGGGAGTAAATGTAAATAGTAACTGTTCTTCTTTTGGCCAGCAACCCCTGAGGCTCTTCCCCTCTCAGTTTGATTTTTTTTTTAATTAAAAGGGCCATCCCTAGACTCACTTCTTAAAGGCGCCCATTCACTGGATGGGCATTACCTCACTCAAAGAGAGAACCTGTAAAGACCTTCGCTTAAAAGGACCAGGGTCTCCCACTGCATCCTGGGCCATCTCCAGTCATCCTGACGAATATCTGGCCACTGGATCCTGATGGCTCTGGAGGAGAAAGTGAGGCTGGTGACCTTAACAGCCCTCCCTCACTCAAATCAAAGTCAACT